GTTACTCCGTCCTTGACGCTTCCTCTACTCCAGATAAGCTATTGACGTATAGGTCACTAGCCTAGGTTTGTCTAGGCTGCTCATCATGACCTCGTCTTACACAAGTAATGTCAGGGCATACTGGAATACAGAGGTCACAGCCAATAAGGGATGGACGCGTGGCAAATGATGTCACTTCAGAGACAGACAAACTGCACGTCGTTGCTGACATGCGGCTTGGGAAGACAAACAAATTAATTGCACCATTCCCATTGATGAGACCGCATTCAATGCGGTAAGGCTCGGAAGTGAAAGGCAATAAATGCTCCTATTACAGAGCATTTATTGCATCCTCCCGAGAGGAGCATATTGTACGTCGGCATCCCGACGACTCGACATTAATGCTCGGGACCCCGAGCAGTCAATTAGAGAAGACATTCCTCATCAGAATCAATGCACACGCAACCTGCACCTAATGATCACCTACTGACCACTGACAGCAATCATGAGCTTTTAAGGTAAAATAACTCCTTGCAAAAGGCAAGACAGGGAGGCAATCACAAACTCTCTTCTACAGTATATTTTCCTCAGTGTTTTCCCTTTCCTCTCTCTCACTCAAAGGACTGACTAGACGCGGAGGGGATACGCCGAGAAAAAACACTCCGGCGCCCTTCTAACGTGTTCTTCTTTGTTCCAGGAAAACTGTCACACGTACAGGATCGATCTTCCTTTCCCAGGATCTTTCTTCGCCGTTCCAGGTTGCCACCGTACCTTGTAGGCTGATTCGAGCAGCGTGTTTGGCCACTCAACCGGCTCACTCAAAGTTCACCAGGGAGAAATCTGTTCCCAATATTTTTTATATTGTGCAGGATCCTGCACGCACATTTGGATTTGAATGTTTTGATTGTTTGTTAATCTTCGCAGGCAGAGGAGAAGAATTAGGGTGTGATTGGACTTTCTTAGCAAACGGATCTTCCGTTATATGAGCCACATCCTTCCAAATTAGCTGTCAGTTTAACCATCATTGCCATCTTACTCCATCTCAAGAATCTTCGGATCAGATTATTCCTCCCAAAACACTTTAATCAAAATATACATATTCATCTAAACACCCCCTAACCGTTAAATCAAAAATATAAAAAATTAGATAATAACTCGTGCCTAAAAGTACAAAATTACCTAAGTACAAGTAATAATTTAAGAAAAAAATTTAATATTTTTGAAATGAATATTAATAGCCATTAAATAAATCTATTTGACATCGTCGTCAAATGAGGTTATTAAAACTTACTTTATTTTATATTATAGATTATCAGTGTCTTACTAAAGCTTAAAATTGGGGGTTCAAAATCCACCGATTTTTTAATGACCACCACTTTATTGAATTTTAAAATCATAGATTCTAATCTTTTTTTTTGTTTTTTGCTGGTTAAAATAAAGGGGTGGGAGGCAAGGAATAGTGCCCAGCGACCACCCTCGATGAACCCTCACCGATGAAATCATGAGGTCCCTACCGCGCCGGGAACACCTCTCGAGATTAGACCTAGTTATGCTAGCATAACGGCTAACTACCAAGCTCCAATGAAAACTTCAAAACTCAAATTTTCAATCTCAAAGTGAGAAGTAAGACCGGTACTCCATTAGACCACCCTCCTTGATGGTATAGATCCTAATCTAATCATATCTTAGTACTTGACAAAATAAACAAACGCTACATCGTTCATTCCACATACATGGGGGCTTAGAAGACAAGTTAATGTGCATGTGATATAGACGGGTCAACCATCGCATCATCAATAAGTCTATTAGGGAAGTGAGATTCATTTCTCTTTCAATTTCTTTAGACTTGTTTACCACAAAAAAAAATTAATATCATACCAATTTATTATATTTATGAGTATTTTTATGGTTATTATGATAGTAAAAAAAAATAATAAAAATAATTATCACAACAATTATACAATAATTTATAATTTTTTTGTACCAAAAAAAATATGGACAAGTCTCTGAACCCCAGAAAAAAAGAGTATGCGCAAGTATATTATACCAAAATAATAAAAAAAAAAAAAGGGCAACGTACCATTATTTCACTTTTTGTAGATATTTTTATTATTTTGTGAATATTCTTAATTTCTTATCACTTTTATGGTAATTGTAATCGATCTCAAAATGTTATCAATTGATCACAGATACCACAAAAATAATAAAAACAACTACCACAAATATGATAAAAATACTCAAAAAAATTATAAATTACCAACAAAAGTTATAATATTTTTTTGTTATAAAATAATCCACAAAAATTATAAAACACTTATTTTTTAATTAAATTTAAAAGAACGGTATAATTTTTTTTTTTTTGGGTATCATAGTCAAGTCCTAGATGTATAGAACAGGTATACATCTCCGTCCAATCTGACCAGGTGGACCAACAACTTACCAGCCACATGAACCATATGAGATGTCAACACCTTGACTTCTCAATTACAACAGCCATGGAAATCAATCCTATGCAATAAGCGGAAGCACACATCACAGAATATTTGGTCAGTCCACCAAACATCATACAAAGATATTCACCTCTTGATATATCCACCACTAACTCACATCATAAGAAAACTGATTTTAGAGAGAGAGAGAGAGAGAGAGAGAGAGAGAGAGAGCTGATAATATGTAATTTCAATGATTCAAGAAGTCAAGAGTAAGTTAATTTATGGTACAAAGATGTTGAGGCACAAGCCTGAGTCAACACAACCACTCCACACTCAACCATGGATTCAGATCCAAGTATTCAACCCTACTGATGTATAATTAATTAATACCCCCACCCAAATCATTAAAAAAAAAAAAAAAAATCCCACAACCTCCAAGAAAAGAGACCACCAACCCAATGATACTGACTGCCTAGTCTAGAAGATTGGAAGAAGGAAACTACTGCCGCATCCCCGCATGACACCATATTTAAAAAAAATATATAAACACAGAAAGATAAAACCCCACAGAGCTCTCCCAATGCCCACCCCTTCATTTCCCAGCCGCAACATGAACTAAAGAACATTCCTGGAGAATAAGAAAGAAATGAAAGCCAGCAATTAACAAAGTACTTACCGGAACTGCTGGCTTTCTGTCTCTCTCTCTGGTCCAACATGACAACTTTCAAGGCTTCAACTTCTGATCTTTCACGCCATCGATGTAAGACTCAACCTGCTATAGAAAAAGAGGCACAAAAAAAAAAAAAAAGGGCAGTATAAAGACAAAAATGGCATGAAAATTTCCAGGACACAATATTCACAATTTCTGTGGACCTGCCTTATCACTGTCTTCTGCACAGGGTCTGTGTCAATTCCAACCCTAGACTTCAGCGCCATTCCAAGTGCAGCATTTGCCTACGTGCAACAAAAGCCATCAAAATAGTACTACACAATTTAATGACTTCTAAATTTTAGACTAAAGGTCCTTTTCTGTTGCTGACAATGACTATTTCGTATACATGACACCAAAAATCCCAATTCAAGCAAAGCAGAAAGTAAACAAGGAGAGTAAGTAAAGTGGAACAAAAAGTAAACTGGAAAGCATAAACGAAGCAAATTAGGGGGAAGAAAGAACTCAAATCTGAAACCTCTAACTCTTCCTGCAATCCATCTTTGAAGTCTTTGCCGTCCTTGTCATGTCCATTATCTGGTAGCAGCTCAGAATCAGCCTCACATGAATCGCCCTGTGAAGATCCCTGGTTGTTACTGCCTACAGAGCTGCCTGGGTTCCCCTCTGTGTTACCTGTCAGCGACTCAAGTCCAAAATCCTCGAAGGAACTGACTTCACCTGTAAGGTTTGTGAGAACACTGGAAGTTGAGACGCATCCAGTATCAGTATTTTCCGCGCATAGCATCCGTTGAACAGGTTTAGCTGACTCCACATTGACCTCATCACATTCAACCTTTGGCACCTCCTTCCTGATAGTAGGTTGAGTCATCGTATTCTCCAAGACATTCACAACCACATCCCCGGCTCGGCCTATACCAACCTGGCATCTTCCATTCACTACCCCACTCTCGTTAGTTCTCACAAAACCTGATGCTGAACACTGCCTCAATGTACTGCCACCACTCCCATGACTAACAATTTCTGGGGAGACTGAATCCCGCCTCTGAGGGCTAGATAATTGCCGTTTCTCTGGACTATCTTGCTTCAACTCTGCTCCATCAAGCTCTATTTTCCTCTTTAGGCGTCTTTCACCAGATTCAGACCTGCAAAGCTCACCATCTTCACGAGATGCTCTTTCAGCATGAGGCTGGCTCGTGAGCCTCGGTGGTCGGATACGTTTATAACCCTCTGGGAACACATAAGAAGGGATATGCTTCCTATGAACATGAGAAACATATATTTCCATCCCAGGTTTCCAGAACAAATACATATTTATCTGATGCCTAAACTCATCGACCGTCCCACGTATGTCAAACTGCTGACCTTCTTGAATTATCTCTCCTTGTTTCCTCTGCAAACCCATAAAAAAGGCACAATGGGAACAATGCTTCAAATTATCGACATAATCATGGGGATAAGGATGGCACTGCAACTTCCCATATGTATCCCGCTCTATCTGCAAAAATCAAAACGGAAAGCGTATATCAGAATAGAGGAAATTTTGCTTCATACTTCATCTCGGAAAAATCCATACGGACAGACTTGCAGGTTAACAACACCATTACAAGTCAAAGTATAGATACTACCATCAGTGTCAGCTGCCTTAGCCGGGATTCAACCCAGCCTTTCCAAGCACGCAAGTCATCAGCATCAGCTGCAATTATGTCAACCTGCAGATAGTTCTTATAGCTTTCAAAGAACATATATGGCTCAAACAAATCGCTCCACTGGGCTTTATTCAGTTCAATCTCCTATATGTGGACAAGAACAACAGTAGAGGGAATTAGACTGTAGCCATAATACAATACCAGAAGGAAGGAAACTCTGAATTTCCTTACCTCACAGATCTTGTTTCCGAACTGGAACTGCTCCATCATAACTCGGAGCGTACTTGTTGACACATTGTAGCTAGAATTCATGCAAGGATAGGCAGGTGTTATAATTGGCATATGATGAGTTCGGTCCCGAGGATTCCTACGAGGATCCCATACGGAAAATCCTAGTTCATCCTCGTCTATTGCACAAAGCATCACTGGATTTGGCCATCGCCACTGTGTATAAACCCTAAAAAATCGAGAAACCAGCATACTGGGAACTGCATTGGGATAAAGCTGACACACGCGAGCTACAAGGAGAGCCCAGTTCACACCGCCAAGAAATCCAGTTACCTGAGGAAAAAAAACAGTGCTCCCAAAAGGCATGGACAAATATTGAGAACAAAAAAAATAAAGCAAGAACCGAAAAACAGAAATAAGCTGTTGTACAAGGCCAACTCACATTTGAATAGACGCCACGCCTTTTAGCCCAAAACTTTAAACATCGGAGTGTCATTTGGAAATGCTATAATTTATGAAGACAAATTTGGACATTAGAAAGCAGAAGAGACCAAACAAATAAATACATTCAAGAGCATAAAAGATCACTAAAAGACCATGGTGCATTTAAAATAATCACCTCAAAGTTTGGAACAAGCTTAAGAATTTGATCTGCCACCCTGCATCCATTAAGACTCCGAACAGTTGGCTCATCAACATCATACAATACGGACACATGGGAGATATCCAAGTCCTGTGGAAAAGCCAGTGACCACGTGGAACTATGAGAAAAATGTAATACTTGAAAACTGTATGTGCTGCAACAGATGATGAAGCCAATGTGAACAATAGCATATGAGTGAACATGGTCACAAAGAATTAACCGATGGGTGCTACCACAACATGACAAGTTTGAATTGATGCCACAAACATCAAATTGAACTAGAGGCATTAGAAGTTAAGAGCCAAGTGCTTTTATCTTGTGGTGGTAGCTCAATTAATTTTGGTATCGTATAGGCTCATACTGTGCTAGTACAAAATTCATTCCCATTTCAACTCAGGCATAAGCATACTGTCTAACCGACAATGAAAATTATAGATAAGATGAAACAAGATTTGTTCTTCCCCATGCGCACATCTGAAAACATATATTTAGATTCAAATCATAGTTCAAGTGAGCTGAGATTTTACGAAAAAAGAAAGCAAATGTTGATCTTCTTGTTTTCTGCCTTTTTTTTTTTTTCCTTTTTGTTGTATCAAGGAGGACAAAGAAGTTGCAAACCCCAGCCTAGACCCCCCAGGACTGTACTACCTCATGGAGTAAAAGCCAGGTATAACAAATAAGAAACAAGAAACAATTTAGTATTAAGAAATACTATATAGAGTTATATAGTCAATGTAAACATTACATTTCAAATTCTGAACTAACAAACAAAAGACAGAATGAAACGAAGAAAGTAAAACTACAGATAATGAATTTTGAAAGGGTCATGACTTTGCCCCCATCAAAAAGCAACCCTGACTAGAGCTGCCAGCGCGAAATGATCTTTAAATTATCAATTAATACTATTTAATTAACACTTACATCTGGGACAACCAAAAGAGAAATACTTGCATAAAGGAGATCTATTGAAATTCCATCAAACTTGAATTTCATAACTGGGACATGAGCATCTGGAACAGGTTGAAGTTCAGTAATTTCATCCATCTTTGCCAATATATCATGCAGTATGAAGAAAAAGTCTTCCTGATAATGAGAGTCCACTGTTAGCCGCAGATGCAAATCAAAAACTATAACATAACATCTTAACACATAAATTACCTCCCGATTCACATATGATGGCCCAACACATAAGGTGTCTATGTCAGCTCCAGGACCATGTACCTAGCAAAATAATAAGCTTATAGTGATGAAGAAAATATAATGATGAGACTCCAAACATCAAGTCAAAAATGGTCATAGAAAGTAAAAAAATTGCATGGCCAATGCCATGAGGTGAAGAAAAAAATAATATTCATATCGAAATAATGGAAAATATAGCATTCGAAGTTTACCATCAAGTGAAGAAGCAAAGCAAAATCTCGAAATAATGAAAAATAGAGAGCATATTGAGTTTACAATCGCATTAAGAAGTAAAGCAAAAAGAACAATAAAAAAGGTGCAAGGACAAGGTAAATATTAAAACAGTAAACCCATTTAATAGGGCATAGGCTTCATTCATACTGCAAGGAATATTACTTTAGGTAATAAAATAGGAGAATTGACTTACTTAAGTAATATAGATACTCTGGATGGGTGCTAAAAGAGTTGATATAGATGGAGGAAGACGATTCAGAACTACAGGACTAACATGTAGCTGAGAGCTAGAAGGGTAGACAAGTAGGAGGAAGAGATTTTGAACCACAAAACTTTGTACTAGATCACAATTACATCAGAAGAAGCAGAGCAACATACATTTAGGTTCACACCACCGCACACGCTAGAAACATAACAATCCAATCAAATTCCCAATACAAAATTGAAACCCTAGGTCAACGACCCCTAATCAGTTGTAATCACTAAGACCCAGATGGAATACATTATTTAACTTGATTGATGAGTCTTGGATTTGCCCATCTAAAACAAATGTTGCAGATTAAGTATTGGAGTTTTGGAAGGAAAACAGAAGCTAAAGTACTATGACATTGTGTGTTTATAGCAACTCTTTGGTGTATTTGAATGGAGAGAAATGCTAGAATAAATACAAATTGTTCTCTTTCTTCTGAGTAAGTGTGAGAACGATTGGTTTTTATGACTTCACTTTGGACCACATCTACAAGAAGTTTTAGAGGGTTGCCTTTGCCAAAAGGGCGCCTTTATTTTACCTTTATTTTCTCCTTTTGGGGGTATTTTTCCTATGTTTTTTCTTTACTCATTTCCTAATCCATTTATCCAACAAACAACATATAATAGCATTTAAAAAAAAAAAAAGAAACCAAAGAGGATTTTCAAACTACATGCCGCCATATAAAACTCACAGGAGCAAAATGGCCAAAAACTTAGATGAACAAAAGAAGAAAATATATTTACAGATTGAGAGTTCTGACAAAAATGGAAGATTCAAACTTGAGACAGGTTATACTGAAGCAACAACTAAACGAAGAGAAAAAAGTTGGCAAACTGATTCTAAAACACAAACCCATTAAACTCATTTTTGTCTTTTTCGTGCCAAATACAACTCCTGCCAAACTTCTAATGCCATCCACCAACCATTAAACAATTTACCTCCTGCCTAATCACCCTCTAGTCTGCCCATCATAGTGTAGTTAATCATCCTCCAACCCAACAAGGAGTAGTGGAGTACACTTCATAGAACAGATAAATATTCTCTATGATGCTAAAGAGAAAGATAGAACCTCTAATACAGGCTGAATCCTAGGCATGCCAATTACTTGAGCAAATTTTCCAGAAACCATGTCACTCATTGAGAATTGCACCCGGGGGGGCCAAAAAAAAAGGCACCCAACAGGTGCACTAAAGATTAGACATGGCTATGGCCATCAGCCTATTGCACAGAATGCTATTCTCTAGACTCTATTGTCCAAAAATAAAAAACCAGTATGTCATGGACACCAGAAATACAAACAATAGGGGAGACCTAATTCATATACTAAAACCTATGAAGCACGGATACGAACACGGGGATACAGAAAAGTTCAAAAATATAGGATACGGATACGGTAAGGGTATGGCTAATTAAAATAATATATATTTTTTAGATAATAAAAGAAATATAATATATTCGAAACAAAGCATACTTTATAACAATATTAATAATAAGACCTAACAAATATTAATTTTTTTGATTAAAATTGAAATAGATCAAAATAAACATCCACCATTATCATCAAACATCCATCAACATTCATAGTATATAAGTTACATAACAATAAACACAAAAATAAATAAAGAAATCACACTCCTATTAGTAGTTAACAATAAAATCCTGGTCGTGTCCTTGCCGACTGAGTCCACAATTCAGGATATTTCTAGCTGTGTCCGACGCATTTTCGACACTGCCACGACACCCTTCAGGAAGTATTAGTGCTTCCTAGACCAAAACAGAGTATGGCAGCTCCTTTTTTCTTTAGCATTCTGGAGATGTGAAGTTCAATTGTGCAGAATGTTAAAATTGTTTAATAATTATCAATATACACACATTTTTCAAACAATTGCTTTAAAACATGCATGGCATTTCATCCAATCTCCAGTCAGTATCATATTGAACCTTGTACTACTACATAAGGTATTATACTTGTATTTGGAATTAGAAATCAATTTTACCAAATAGCAAGCTCATTCAATTGAAACAAAAATGGGGGTGTGAGGGAAAGCACCGGTGCAGTAAAGAGAAATGACAAAATAAAAGTTGCTTACTCCAAGTCGATAAGAACCAAAAGTAAACAAAACAGCATTGGCATCCTCCACCATTTGGTCTGTGTACCCTCTCAAGCGAGTAAGCTCCTTCACCCAATCTTTCACAATCTAAAATACAATGAAACAAAGTTACCAAAAGCTCAAAGTGAACCAAAAACAGAGAATAATGAATCACAAAACCAGAAAATGACTGGATTGAATAACAAATTCATTCAAAAAAAAATAAGTATCATATTAGAGGCAAAATTCAAGGGTGTGAAGAATACGTATGTGACGTACACAGCTCAAACAATCAAAAATTATGTCACACATCGAAAGAAAATATTCCACTTTTAATATTCTAGTATACCCATACCCATTTAACGCTATGATTTGATTCTCATCTTCTGTTTTGGAGCTTTCCTTTCCCATCTCTTTCTCTCATTCGACCCAACCGTCACCATGGAGCCGATTCGGGGGAGGATTCAGTCATTTCACTTTCTTTAACAAGTGAACCCACTAAACACACTAAGGTTGAGTTAATTTAACCTTTTTAGTACATCCCTGTGCAAATGCATCGCTGGAGAAACTTAGGCCAAAAGTCATGAAAACGGTTCAATTGGATTAGTGCTTTTCTCCATCTTCTTATTTTGTTTAACGAACCACAATTTCAAACCTCACTTAGAATCAGTATGTTATTTTCTCCAATCAACATCATCTGATTATTAGGTTACAGGACTTTCATTCGGTTTCTAAATGATAGGGCCATGATATATTTCTTTCTTCTGTTCTCAGGTCATTCTTCCCTCTTTCTCAGATCTAAGCTGTTAACTTGTAGTATTGAATTTCATCTGATTACCATGTCAGTTACAACTCAACTCATCCAGATTAGTCAATGATTTGAAATGGTACCAACACCAAAATTACCATTTCTTCTTTTTCGTTTGATTCTTAGGTTGCAGGACTTTCATTCAGTTTCTAAATGATAGGGCCATGATATATTTCTAACTTCTGTTCTCAGGTCATTCTTCCCTCTTTCTAAGAACTAGGTTGTCAATATGTTGTATTGAGTTTCATCAGGTTAGCATGTCAGTTACAACTCAACTCAATCTGATTAGTCAATGATTTGAAATGGGACCAACACCAAAATTACCATTTCTTCTATTTAGTTAAACAATGTTTTGTATGACCATTTCATTAACAAGCCAAAATTGTGATTTCAATATTTGTACAACTTGCATTTGGGTTAAGACAAAGCCCATCTTGCCATTACACAGGCATGATACATGATACAGCTGCCTGCCGAACACAACACAATGGCCATCCCGCTGTATAACAATATGGTCAAAGGGCATGAAATGTTGATCAACAACACAACGGCCATCCCGCCGCCTAAGATACTTTAAAAATAAGTTGAATTTCAGATAAGTTTAGAAAAAGTTGGGGATACACTGACATGACATTGATAAACGTTTAGGATATGGCAAGACGACGTTTGGGATACATCAGAGTACTTTGGAACTAAATACATCATTTTTGTTCTTTAAAATAGGTTGTTGAATAAGGGAGTTCATCAAAGAAAAAAATGTAATTTCAACCTCGCAATGGTTGCCTTATCCAGTATGTTCTTTAGTTAACCAGACCCTCTTATAAAATGTCCTAACTCACTCACATATTTAATATTTTACCGATCTATAAGTGAAAGTAAGAGACCGACTTGAATATCTTTATTTTATTTGGTTGTAAATATAAAATTCTAGATGGTTAGTACATTCGAATACCTGAACGATGAAAATTTTATCATCAGTTTTTGGTCAATTAAGATTAATGGAGTTGTTTAATGTAACAACTTTTAGGTTCACTTCACAAAGTTTAATGTCCATTATTTTTCTAGAATTGCTTACAGTTATGCTTGCATTCCAAAATCGCATCTCTGTGTCATTTAGGTTACCAGAAAATTCCAAGTTCCTACAATACCTGGTTCCTTCCCTAACCTTGAAACTCTAAAATCTAAAGACCATGTCTTCTGAGGATCACAATATACCAACTACCCAACTGCTCTACATATACCAATATGGCCATGCTGATATGCGTAAGTGATGTAGGGATAAGAAAAATAAAGTAGACCCCACAAGGTGTTTCTTCAATGCAGGCCTTATATATGTGTATAAACACAAAACAAATGTATATTGAGCGCATAATCAGGATAAACTGATCGAAAACTTCTCAATTCCTAAGTTCATGTCATGATATAGTCTATGTACTATTGGTAAATCAATTTCACCCAAGGCGAGCCAATTCCAATCTAAATTAACAAACCTTAGTTTGGGAGTTAAGACTCTAAATTCAGTACAATAAATAGATGCAAGAAAAAATGGAAACTACTGAGAAGTTCCAAAAATCAGGTACCTGCTTAATACGACCAAAGACATCTTCCCTCTTGGAAACTTCATCCGGGCTTTCATATAGCCCAGCGTCTGACAAACACTAGGGTACACAAAAACAAATCTCAGAATAAACATAAACATTAGGACAAACAACCAAAATTTTCAAACAATGTACCGATAAACATACCTTCTCCAACTTCCTGCTTCTTTGAATATCAGCCTCCGTAGGCCCCGCAAGAGATATCGGCTTGGTGACTCCGTATTGCTTTGGCTTCAGCGCCGGCGGTTGCTGACGAAATGGAGAATCGCACAAACTCTCTGATCCCACCATAATCAACAGTAGAAGAACCCCAAGACTAACCCTATATCAAACAAATCAGTCGACACGCGCATACACAGAAAATCAAACTCAATAACGATTAGCTTAATGGAATGAAACCCAAAACCCTAATGCAAGAAGAATGATCGTTCGACTCAGGCTAAATCAGACCAAAAAGGAATCGAAATTTGTATGCGAAATTCAAACAGGATCAACAACAGAAACCCTAGATCGCAGTAGATAACCACATTCACCACCGTCCGAACAAGGATAATTGAGTTGATCAATTATTGAAACGCCAGAAAACGGGCGGTAGATCCAACAAAGCGCGAAGACGAAGACAACTGAACCCTAAAGATGCGATTGCAGACGCGCGCGCACACACACAAAAACCACGGACACACGGAGAGGGGCAAGAGAGCGTTTGGGGGACAGCAGATCAGTTGGTTGTGGAGGAGAGAGAGAGACAGAGGGGGGGGGGGTTTGACACGAAGGAGCTCGATCACATCTGGTTGGCGGTTGGGGATGATGGAGTGTTTTTTTTTTTTTGGCTTTGTGGGCAATGGGGATGATGGAGTTGGAGAATGGAAGAGAGAGAGACAGAGAGGGATATTTAATAAACGCACCGCACCGTTTGGGAGCGGTGTTACTAAAAAAACGATATTCGTACTTGGAACATCCTTATCCTTTTAGGATTTGGAATTTTGGAGTAACGTCACTAGCAAGGAAGCTAGCTGTTCATGGCGCCAGTGGCCACGCGGCATTTTTGGGAAAATAGCACATTGCATCCCTAAAGATTCCAAAATTCTCAATTTGTAACCTAAACGTTAAATTTTTTCATTTTTTTTAAATTACACCCCCAATAATACAAATCAGTTATAACACTGTTCAATTAGTAACTCGTCCAACTTGTCGTCCCTTTTTGTCCCACATGCAGTCAAGAAGGGACTAATTGGTCAAATGCCATATTTGGGCATCAAAATCAACCAACCCCCCTAATGGGTTGGTATTAGTACCCAAATGTGGTTTTTACCAATCAGCCCCTTCTTGACTGCACGTGCAAAGCAGGTGGGACAAAAAGGGACGGCAAGTAGGACGGAGTTACCAGTTGGGCTGGATTTCAATTGATTTGTATTATTGGGGGTGTAATTTGAAAAAAATTAACTTTTAGAGTCTAAATTGAGAATTTTTAAATCTTTTGTGGTACAATATGCAATATTTTCCCAGTTTTTTATGGGAAAACTTTACTTTACCCCCTCGTGTTTTACCCCATTTACACATAACCTCCCTTTGGATTAAAATTATCACATAACCCAGACGTGGTTACTGAACTAAAATGCACTGTTGAGCACTTTTAACAACTACATTAAAATGACCTTGAAACCCCTTCTTCTCGGGCTATTCCATCGCATTATTCTTGTCTAGTCTTAAGAGACCACCCACTTCCGTTCAACGAATCCCCAACCACACCAAATAACAAATGATATAAAAAAATCAAAAACAGCCTTGCTTCCACCAGTGCACTGCCACTATTGATGTACAAAGCTAGCTATTGCACTAGAAGATCACCATTTTAATCTCTATAGCCCATCACTTTAATCTTTGTCCCCAAATTCAATAACCCAAGATTGTCATCTCTAATGATGCACAAAGTTAACTATGTACGATCAAATCAGTCGAATGTGTGATATAAAGTAATTAATGAAGCAATCAATAATAAAAAAACAAAAATTGGGTGGTTGGGTCTAGGTGACCTAACCATTGTAGAAAGCGGCAATAATAGATAGAGAACTCTATTAATAAAAAAATACAAGGTAATAGAAGAGAAAGAGAGAGCAAGAATACGATTCAAGGGGTAATATGTGAGATTTGCTCCCATATGTAGGGAGGTCTATAATTTATAAGCGCATAGCCCCAGTTAAGACAGGGAGTGAGGGTCAAACTATTAATTTTATCGGAGAAGATAACTACAATTGGGGATGGGGACTATCTTAAAATAATAGTTATCCCGATCATTGTTCTCCCACGTACATGAACTCTTCCTAAACTCTTGAACTTTGGATTGAACTGAGGTCAGGAGCTAAGTCTAATCTGTCTTTTGTTGATTTGGGCTCAACCGATGAATTGGGCCTAAACCTGGTTTGAATCTGGGCTCGTTATTTGCCCCAAGCCCTAGTGGTGATAAAGGTAGAGGGCATGAGTGAGCTCCTACATTTGGGTAGACCAGATATCTTGTGTTCACATGGTTTCCTTAAGCTTCTTCCCTCATTTGGCAGCATTATTGTTGATATGATTGCACCCATTGTGCTAACAGACAAACCCCTTCGCCGGGACTTCCATTGGATTCGAAAAAACTTCATCCCGTTATAGTAGAGTGCTTCAACTTTAGAATTGATCACTCAAGTGCAGGTTGTCGCGAAATAATATAATATTTGGAAATCCAAGGTCGAACTACGGGGAATTGTAACAAAAAGCAATCACAGAAATACCAAAAAAAATTTGAGAGAACAATTTGTGTAAAAAAAATTGTTGAGTTGAAAATATTGATTGGAGATATTTAAACAATATAATAAAAATACTAGAGCATCAGGTACTCCCTCAATTTCATACAATAATGATTAAAGACTCAAATCTTAACTTGAGACAAGAATTAGATGTCGGTTGATTCGAGTAACAAGTCAAGTAAGAAAATCAAAAGATTATTCAGGAACCTGAATAATCATCCAATTATATTATTTTATGAAATAATGATAAATACCTCAAGCATGAAATAACCAGTTATTTACTTGCAAGAAAATTCAAGCAATCGATGTACATGACACAATGACTGAAGGATTTTTACAGAATACAAATTTTACTAAGAAATCAGAAGTTAAAGTAACAAAACATCTTAAATCATTAAGCACAGAGTCAATAACAGTACCGTACTTTGTTGAGAGGTTTTTCCCTAACCCTAGCTTAGCCTTCTAGCCAAACATAACGAATTAAAACAAAAATAAAAAGATGAAAAAAAGAATTATCCTAATCTCTAAATGAGAATCTCTATTTATACTAATAATAAATCCTAAGTACATGTTGAAAAAAAAAAAATTCCAAAAAAAGAAGTCTTGTAAGGTTAAATCTCGTGCATAAAATTTTTGGGACGCGGGTACAAAATTTGTTCAGACTTCAAGTTTAAATTTCTCATATTTAGAGGTTGAATCACGAAAATTTCGTGAAATACACTTTTGTAGCCCTTGAAGTCTTCTTTTTATCCCCCAAAAATCAAGTAAATCGGATATCAGATTCAAAAGTTATAACCAAAATACGAAGATGTGTCAAATCTTTTTCTTCTTGGACATTTTCCTAATTCAACTCTAAATGAGTTTTCTTCTAACTTGGACTCTTATAAGGATTAAATTGTTGTCATATCTTCAAGTCTTCCAATCTCAATCTTGACTCTTCAATCCTTATCGATTATAATTCTTCCTCTAGTGATTGATTCACTTGCATTATTCATTATTACTTTAAATCAACCAATTTACCTACAAAATAAACCAAACAACTAAAAAAAGTATCAAACTAAAAAATCAAGGAATTTAACACATTTAATTACAAATAATATACAATTAACCAATCATTAAATATAATAAAATAGCAATTTTTATGGTTAATCATAGAGAAACCTTTTTTTTCTTTTAGGTATGAGAACATGTTTAAACCAATTCTTGCTTGATTTGAGTTTGATGAAGTTGCTTAGTTTGGATTTCATGAAATGGGTTGCTGGACATGCTATGTGTTTACATAATTTTGCCTATTAAGTGTTTGATAAAATGCTTATGAAATAAAATTTGCTAATTAGATTGATATCATATGTAACCATTTGTGATTGTTTGTGGAAAATTGATATGTTTATTATATGTCTTATGATATGACGAGCAACATGTAATATAAATTACAATTATACAATTTGATTGCATAATGATATAAAGTATAATTGTACATTATATTTGCATATGCACGAATAACATCACATTTGTGGACATTTGACATGAGTGTGAGTATGAGTGTGTGGGTGCATGGGTTGGTCAATCACCACAGGGTGAGTTGATGGGTGGACTCGGAAGGTTTGAATCAAAGTTTGATAAAGTCGCACGAGATATTGTATAAAAAACTTGTGTCGAGTATAGTAAAAAGGGATAAATTTTCCCTCGGGTGCATGACCTGATTACTTGATTCAGTCATTTGCCCTATGGTGAAAATTTGAAAAAGTGTGTGAGTGTACTTGAAGTCCAAGGTAAAATGCCCTCGAATGTCGTGTAGGTTTAATAGCCCCTTAGTGTGATGTCCATAAATTTCCTACCCAACAAGACACAAGAGTTGATGAATGGCGTGAGATGCATAACACCGATGACAAGGTCACTAGATGTGTAGCATCGATGATAAAGGCTTGAAATGTCTGGATGCATACGCATGACATGACATATGTTATGGCAACCGATGAAGGGCTTAGATTTGGATTGCATGCGCGAGTTTCATCTCATGACGTGACATGAAATTGTAGTATTCAGCTATGATATGTATGTGTTTGAATGAATATTTGATATGATGACTTACATGTGGCATTTCATATGCATTTGGGTTGAAGAGTGACCTATTTAGGAGATACTCTATTGAGTGTGACTCACCTTTTATGGGAATACATTTCAAATGTTAGACAAGTTTTAGCTGACGAACCCTCACTTAGGCCCATGTTGATGACAGAATTAGGTTGTGGCTCTCAAAGTACATTTTTGTAGTCCCTTGTATATCTTTGTTTTGGTCATGTATAAATTATGTACAAACCTTGTACTTTGACAAAGACATGTAATGAGACACTTTTGAAAAGTTATTATTTTGTAAATAAATGAATGTAATGGGTATTGTAGGAGATTGTATGGTTAAAAGTTGAAAATTGAGAAATTGGGAAAATTTGGGCCCGAGGTACCTAGCTTGTAGTGGATTTAGGAACCGGTACCTATGCTCACTGATAC